CATTCCGTTAGATTTAAAAGTTCTTTGTTTACTATTTTAAATAAAAGTTTAATATCTCCATTAGAGTAAAATAAATTCGTGTCATCTGCAAATAAAACAGAGTTTAAAATGTTTGAAAATTTAGGAAAATTGTTTACATAAATAAGTTTATGTTTAAAAATTTATGAAAATCGTTTACATAAATAATTTTATGTTTGAAAATTTATGAAAATCGTTAACATAAATAAGTTTATGTTTGAAAATTTATGAAAATCGTTAACATAAATAAGTTCATGTTTGAAAATTTAGGAAAATCGTTTACATAAATAAGTTTATGTTTGAAAATTTATGAAAATCGTTTACATAAATAAGTTTATGTTTGAAAGTTTATGAAAATCGTTTACATAAATAAGTTTATGTTTGAAAATTTATGAAAATCGTTAACATAAAGAAGTTTATGTTTGAAAATTTATGAAAATCGTTTACATAAATAAGTTTATGTTTGAAAATTTATGAAAATCGTTTACATAAATAAACAAACAAGAAAGAGGAGAAGAACTAAAACATTTTAAAAGAGAAGATTGGTTATTCATTTATTTTTATGATTTAATTTGTAATTATTATTTTTTAATATAATATTTTAACCTATTTGTATTTTTTTTATTATTCTCATTTTTTTTTTTTTCACATTTTTTTAATTATTTATCCATCATTAATTATATTCACTTAGTTCTAGTTATCAAGTTTTCCCGTTAAATATCTAAGTTGTAATATCTCTTATTATTTATTTATTTATCATTAGATTATCTATTTAGGAAGTTTTGTTATATATTTTATTATATTTAAATTATTTTACTATATATAATTTTATTGTATTTTTTGATCATTATTATAACTTTATCATTATTATATATTTTTATACATTTATTTATTATGGATTTATATTATTTTAATTTTATCTATTCCTTACTATTTTATCTATATAAACCTATACTTTTTATTTATAATTTCGATAATAATTAACTACGTACTACTATTGATTATTGTTGCTATTTATCCATTTACTATTTATTGTTTGACTATTTTATCTTTTAATTTCTATATTTTCTGTTCTATAAACGGCTTTACCATATATATCATGAAAATTTGTCACTATTGCAAGTTTTGCAATAAAAATATAAAAAAATAACCACAGAGCCATTCAATGCGACTGTTGCTTCTTTTGGATTCATGCAAAATGTATTCCAGTTGAAAAACATGCTTACAATCTGCTTTCTAATGACTCTTCTGAATGGTTTTGCCCTAACTGCATATCAAACAATATGCCGTTTGGCATACTCTCCGATCTGGAATTTAAATCAACACTTTCCTGCAAGAATTCTTCTAAAAAAATAAAATTTTATGAACCCCCTGATTACCTCAAAAACTTATTTAAAACCATGAACAATGTTTTTAATCCAACAACTAAATGCAAATACCTTGACGCTAATGAACTAAATAAATTTATTAATCATAAACTTATCTTCATCTAAATATTTCTTCTCTTCCATTTAACATAAATGATCTCTCCAGCTTTGTTGGTACCATTAATACCCCTCCCATGGTAATAGGAATTACTGAGTCTAATTTATATGCAAATGATTCTAATAAAACTGACATTACCATACAAGATTATAACATTGAGCACTGTCCAACAGAATCAAAAAAAGGTGGTGCACTTCTTTATCAAAATTCAAATCTTAATTATATAGTTCATTGTATTCTCCTCTCCTTGAAAAGTTAAGTCATGAAGGAAAAAATATTGAACTAATGGGCAATTTCAACATAGATTTATTGAATTATAGAGAATCACAAGCCATTTCTAATTATTTTGAATCTTTGTGCTCCCATTTCTCATTTCCAAACATAATTCTTCTAACACGTGTAACTGCAAAAACTAAAACCCTTATTGATAACATCTTCATGAATTCATTTCCTACTGATATAGTCTCAGGTAATCTTAAAATTTCAGTCTCTGACCACATGGCACAAATCTTACAATTTCAGTCTCTGACCACATGGCACAAAAGAATCAGAATCAAATTTTAAAAAATTTTATTCTGATTCTTTTATTCAAGAAACTTCCAATATTAACTAGGAGCTTCTCATAAAAGGCGATGATAACATAAACGAATCTATAAATTTTGTCCTTAAAACATTTGAAAAAATATTAGACCGATATGCTCCTCGCAAAGAACTAACAGAAAAACAAATTAAACTTCAATCTAAACCCTGGATAACTTCTGGTATTCTTAAATTAATTTCTAATAAAAACATACTCTAATTTACTAGATCAAAAAATGTGAATACAAAAAATATGATATTTACTAAATTTAAGTTATACAGAAATAAAACTAGCAATTCGTTAAGGTATTCTAAAAATTGTACTATGCATCTTTTTTCAATAACAACATCAATAATGTAAAGAAAGGATATAAGAAAATCATAAACATCAAACCTTCTACTTCTACTAAGTCTTTTAATCTCAAAATGAATGAAAATGTCATCTCAGATCATACCAGTGTTGATAATATATTTAATAATTATTTTACGACTATTCAAGACTAACTACTTAAAAATACTGTTCCCTCTAAATGTGCTTTTGGCAACTTTCTTAAAATACCCAGTAATAATCGACTGAAAATGAGGTGGCGAATCTCATAAAAAATAATAAAAGCCTCGGTCCCAATAGTCTGTTAAAATTTTTACTAAAGATGGTATCTCACATAATCTCCAAACCTCTATGTACTATGATGAATAATTCTTTCAAAAATGGTATTTTTTCAGAAGCTTTTAAGGTAGCCAAAGTAATTCCTATACACAAAATGGGCTCTTATCTAGACTACTCCAACTATCGACCTATTTCACTTCTTTCTAACTTAAGTAAATTATTTGAAAAAGCAATGTTCCAAAGACTCAAGGATTTTTTGAAAACACAACTTTATTTACAAACACCAGTATGGTTTTTGCAACAAACACTCAATAACTCATTCATTAATAGAAATAACAGAGAAAATTAGACAAGCTATCGATAATAAACACTTTGCGTGTGGAGTTTTTTGACATAAGAAAAGCATTTGATACAGTTGAGCACACAATCCTCTTAGAAAAATTGAAACACTACGGTATAAGAGGTATTCCTTTTCTCTGGTTTTCCTCTTATCTTTGTAATAGAACACAATTTGTTTCAATTAATGGTATCAACTCAAGACTAGCTAAATCTTTTAATAGTGTTCCGCAAGGCTCGGTTTTAGGTCCATTACTTTTTCTTATTTTTATCAATGATTTAAATGATTCGCTTAAATTTTCTACTGCTTATCACTTCGCGGATGACACCAACTTACTCCTAATTAACAAATCACTTAAAAAACTTAACAAAAATATGAATTACGATCTAGCTAATGTTGTTCAATGGCTCCGCTCTAATAAATTATCTCTTAACTCTAAAAAAAACGGAAATTGTTGTATTTAAATCTGCTCAAATAAAAATAAATAAGCAATTAAATTTCAGATTAAGTGGCCTAAAAAAAATCCAGTTAACTCTATTAAATATCTTAGAATCAAAATAGACTCTAATTTATCTTTTGCATCGCATCTTCAAGACTTAGCATTGAAATTAAGCAGATCGAATGGTGTTTTAACTAAAATTCGTCATTTTGTTAACCATGAAACTTTGCTTAATTTATATCATGCTATTTTTCACTCTCATCTCAGATATGCTTGCCAAGTTTGGGGAAAATCTAAGCAGCTTGCTTTTTTAAGACTATCTTATCTCCAAAACAAAGCTCTAAAATTAATTTACTTTCAACATACTAATGTGAACTGTAACATACTCTATTATTTATCTAAACTCCTAAAATTGTGTGACCTTATTCAGCTATCAAATTGTCTATTAGTTTGGAACCAAAATCACAATAACTTACCTCTTACATTTATCAACTTTTTTAGTTATAGGAAAAACTGTAAATATATTCTACGATCTGCTCTAAACTTTAAATTATCTGTACCTAAATACCGAACAGTTTATTACGGGTACGAATCCATACAACATAAAAGCATACAAACCTGGAACAATCTTCCTACCCAATTAAAATCTTTTAAATCATTCTCAAAATTTAAAATACTCTTTAAAATTTAAAATACTCTTTATAAATTTTATACCTTTTTACAACTTATTATTTATAACCCTAACGCGAAGCTTCTATTTTTATTTATTATTATAAACTGATATGTTTCAATAATATTCTCTTATTACTGTTGTTGTTATTGTTACTATATTTTTATCATAATTAATATTATTGTTATTGTTGTTGTTATTATTATTTTATTAATAATAATTTCTCCAAAATAAAAAACTTTGAATACTTAAATCTAATAATAAATCACACCAAATGAAAACTTCGATTATTTAAATCTGTTAATAAACCACACTCATAATTATTTATTGGGATTATAAACCACACCCATAACTAACTAAGTTTACAAACTCAATTTCTTCACACTAAATTTATTAATATTATAATAAACCACACCTAAAATTTACTAATTCTACTTCTTTTACACTAAAATCTAATGAAAATCTATTACAATCTTCTTTTAAAAAATAACTTGTTACAACTAATTTTTTAATTTTAATTTAAATAATTTAATATAATCTAACTCTTCAACCTAAAATAACCACTAATATATAAATATCTAAATTTCATACAAACATTCAAGTTAAATATCTAAACTTTATTCAAACATTTAAGTCAGTGGTTACCAACCTTTTCTAACCCGTTCCCCAAATTAAATATCCTAAAATCTTCATGGACCCCTTTGATTTTAAAAATTATTACAAGGTGAACATTTTAATAATGTAACTTTTATTCATAAGGATAATATTTTATTTAAGGTATTTTTGAATAGACTAGACACAAAATCAATATTTATCAATGACACAAAAAATTTTTATCTTAGTTTATGTATGATACAAGAACAGATCAGTGTGAATTCTGACACTGCTTACTAGCAATTAATATCTGAAAATTTGGTTTAGTTTTTGATAGAGCACATCTAATATCTGCATCAATATCAAGTCTATTTCTTCTTTTTGTCTTAAGAGATAGCATTGCTGAAAACCCGGCTTTACACAAATATGATGTTGAAAAAGGAACAAGGGCTTTAAGTGCAATTGATGAACACAATGGATATGAATTCCTCATTTTCAACCAGAAGTTATTTAATGGTGCTACTTTGAAGTGATCCTTGGCCGTGGTATCATTCTTTAACTCTATAAACTCTTCTTGTGCTTCCTCTTTCACATTTTTCACATCACAAGAAAATGGTGATATAATAACTTCACTGCTCAAAAGATTCATATCTGGAAAATAGTTACCAAATTCAGTAATCAAATTATCTAGGTGACAAACTATTTCTGTCTTTATAACTTCAGAAAGCATGTTAACTCCAATTATGTTATTTTAATTTTGAAACATGATCAAGTTTCCATTATTAATTCTAGTCTTGTACAGTTTGAGCTTTTCAATAAATGCCTTCAGTTTATCTGAATGTGTAATAACATTAGCATTTTTGCCTTGAAATTGCAAATTTAACTTGTTAAAATGACCTACGATGTCCACAAGATAAGTAGTTGTTATTTCAAAATTATCAAATTCAAAATATTCTACCAGTCCACTTTTCATTTGACATAAAAATTCTTTCACTTCATTTCTAAGCATGAAAAATCTTTCCAAAAAATTTCCAGCAGATAGCCATTGCACAGAAGTATAAAACAATTACTTATTGTGTTCAGCATTTAGGTCAGAGCAAAATTTTGAAAAAGGCGAGTGTTAAGAGCAGAAGATTTTATATAATTGACCAACTTGACTAATTGATTAAATACAGTTTTCAAACTACCTGGTAAAGTTTTGGTTGCCAAAGCCTGTCTATGAATAAAACAGTGTACACCAACTACATTTGGAGCAATCTCTTTCACCCTAGTCTGTAATCCAGACTTACAATCCATCATGGCAGGAGCTCCATCAGTAGTAATTCCAACCAAATATTTCCATTGTAATTGATTGTCATTGAAAAACTGTTTTAAAATTTCCATAATATTAGCTGCTTTTGTTGTTGTTTCAAGGCAAGAAGAAAACAAAAATTCTTCTTTAAATTTGTTATTGTGAATATACCTACAATATACAATTAGTTGTGCCATTGAACTTACATCTGTGGACTCATCCAACTGAATAGAAAAATATGGGGATTCTTTAATTTCATTAATAACATTTTCTTTAATGTTTGATGAAATATCCGTTAGCCTCCGTTTGACTGTAGTATTTGATAAAGATATATTATCTACCTTCTTTGCAGCTTCTTCTCCAAATAATAATCTAACGATTTCTTTAGTACATGGAAGTATAACTTCTTCAGCCAATGTGGGAGCTTTTTTGTTCTGTGCTATTATATATGAAACCTTATAGGATGCTTCTACTATATTCTGTTGAGTTTGGTAAATAATCCCAGTTTTATCCAATTTGCATCTCTTCAGTGATTCAAATTTTCTTTTGAAAAAATCAGTATCTTTTGTTTGGAGATCAGGATGGCACTTATTCAAGTGAATAGCAAGCTTTGAAGGTTTCACAGAGTCATTTCCTAGTACTTTATAACAAATAACACACTGTGGGTAGCTAATGGTTTCTTTAAGCATGTAGGTAAATCCATATCTCATGTATTCATCTAAGTATGACCTTTTTTTACTTTTAAACATCTAAAGTATTTAAAAAATAATATAAAAAGCATCTATAGATAAGAGTAGTATAGTATCGAATTTTTATAGAAAATAACACAAATTACGTTCTTTTAAACAAATCAGTAAGGTTATCTTTACCATGAGATAAGATTTTAACATTTTAAATTCACGGATAAAAAATGATATTATAGCATTTATTACTTTGTAGAGGTCCGCAAGTCCTCGTCGAATTAGTTAACGCAAATTTTGTGTAACAGCTTTCTCGCAATAATTACATTTTTAATTTAAAATTAAATTTGTTTCTTTCAACAGAAAAAAATAATCAAAATTAAGTTTCACTACCAAAAAATATTTAGAATTTACGTTTATCTTGTGGTCCGCTTAAAAAGTTCTTATAGACCCCCAGGGGTCCATGGACCACCGGTTGGGAACCACTGATTTAAGTTAAATATAGGAAATAACTAGTTTATAATATAAATACCTAAGATATGAATATTTAAACTATATAGATCTAAGATATGAATATCAAAACTATTAGGGACAATAGCTCCTTCTCCTTCTGTAATGAATAAATTTTTTTTTTTTTCGACACTGTCCGACTTTGAATAAACTATGTACTAATACTTAAACGATTTTGAGAAGTCTCACTTTCTGATATTTTCTTCTCTCGAGACTATCAGCCCACTTTTCATGACAGATAAAAAAGAACTTTGTTTTAAATATCGAATTTGTTAATCCTAACTATAACTCTCCATTCATTCAAAAATTTGATCTGACCCAATTTTTAAAACTTTCTATTTGTTCTCACCAATTTTTGTGCAATAAAACTTAGAGTAATAATTCTTGCGTAAGATTTTTATAACTTTTGAAATTTTTTTGTTTCGCTTCTTTTGAGACCCAATATAACATACATTTGGGAAAACCTTTTTTTTTCTTCTGTTTAGGGTCTCATTGCAAGTTTCAGATTTGAGGTGGCCTCCTAAACCTCATAAGTACGCTTTTTTTTTGCCAACCTCCCCCCTTCCCCCGCAATTTGCATATGCTTTTTTGAGTACTCTCTACCTTCCTAAAAGTACCTACGATTTAAATCTACTAACCCAACATTTTATAACATTTTTTAAAATTTAGTGTCTCCATACTTTTATAATTGACTTACTGCCCCCTTATCTCAGAAACGCTATTTACAGACCTCGTCTTCCTCTCCGAGCGTACGTACTTTATCGACGATCCCTTAGCAGATGCTAAGTAAATAACTTTTAATACAAACGAAATTTATTATTAATATAAACAAACTAACCTAATTTATTAACAAAAAGTGGATACAATGAAAACATTTAGTTACATAAAACCCCATTTTTCATTGCAAACAAATATGATCCTAAACCATGTTTTTTTTGCAAAAAAAAATGTGGTAGACTGCTAAAAAAATTATTTTTGTATTTAACAATATTTCAATAAATTTTTCTACTTCAAACATGATAAATACATTAGAAAATTCATAATTTTTAACTTTTTTAATATATATTTTGGGCAAAAACAGGTGATTTTAGGCCAAAAACAGGCTAAAATCTTGGCAAATATATCTCAAAAAGTATAATTTATTAAGTTCTGATTTTTTGTTTTTTTATTTGTTTTATGTAGATAAATGTCCTGAGATAAAAATTTTTGTTGAAAATTTTTTTATTTTAAAGCATCGTTAGATTTTCCAAAGCGCCCAATTAATAATCGAATTTCTGATATTAAGAACAAAAAGTTTGTTGTTTTAAAAGTTTATATTCTAAATTCTTTTTATCTTAGGACATATAGCTTATTATAATGAATCTCAGTACAAAATTTTAAGTCAATTGGACAATTAAAGCTCCTGCAATCTTTGCCAGAAAATTAGAAGAATAAAACAGAGAAAAAAGCATATAAAATTAAAAATATTGAATATACTAACTTATTAAAATCCCCCTTTTTTATATACTGCTCTTCTTAATTTTTGTATTTTTTATCAAACCCTTTCCTAGTTGCTTTTTCTTATTATTATTTTCTTAAAGATTTTTTCTTTGTTTTTTATTTTTTTTTATATTACTAACCTTAACTAGCGGTTGCTATGAGCATTGATAGGGGAAACAAAATTACCCTACTAATATAAATCACTTTTATTAGTTCTAAATTTATTTTCTCATAGGAAGATCTGTATTTTTTTAGACTCTACATCAGTTACTGTTTGAAACAATGCCACTTTTGAAAAATTGTTTTTTTCTATTTTTTTTAGCAGTCTACCACCTTAAGATTTCATGGTTAGTTTTTTAAGTTGAACAGTCTTGTACAGAATCTTACAGTGTTAGTTAAACAGTACAGCTTTGTTTAGAACCTTATAGAGTGTCTAATAACTTAGCTGGGTTTTTTGCAGTCAGTCAATCAAATATTGATTTACACTATAAGGAATAAATAATTATTAAAAATAAACTTTATGAGCAAACAAAGATTTAATTATTCAACTTTAAAAATTTAAACTTTACTTCTTTTAACAAATCTAAAAGAAATATAAACTATATCTATATATAAGTAAATCTATATAAAATATAAGCAATATATCAATACCTATATATAAGTAAATCTATATAAAATATAGACAATATATCAATACCTATATATAAGTAAATCTATATAAAATATAAACAATATATTAATACCTATATATAAGTAAATCTATATAAAATATAAACAATATATCAATACCTATATATAAGTAAATCTATATAAAATATAAACAATATATCAATACCTATATATAAGTAAATCTATATAAAATATAAACTATATATCTATATCTATATATAAGTATATCTATATATAAGTTCATTTATTGAATTTAAACAATTTTTGAATTTAATTACTTTTTTAGGGTTTTAACAAGACACTTGAACAATCAAAAGATTACTAGTTTAATCAAAAAAAAAATTATAAAAGTATAACACGATGAAACTCAAACAATGTATAGTTATATATAAAAGTTTCTAAAACAATAATTGCTTTTTTCAAAATTATGAGTATTGCACATATTAACACCTTTTTGTAATATTAGGTACTTTTTTTATTATTCCAAGGCCTGGAAAAATCCATTGTTATTTTTTATTTTGAAAAATTTTAATTAAAGTAAATATAAAAAACATTTATGGCTACTCTAAGAAATTGTAAAAAGTTTTTGAAAAAAAATATATATGTAACTTTATTTGAAATTAATATTCATGTGTTACAAAGCAAAATATTGCACGTAATATATGGTCGATCTCTGATTTTTTTATTTCCTCAAATTGTTCTAATCCACTGTTTCCTCCTGGTTTTCTTTTTAAAATGTTTATGGAATGTTTTCCATAGTAATTAAAAACTGGTTTTGATTCAGAACTATTTCCTTGAGTCAAAGAGAAAAACATGTTATGATGTCCTGTAGAGAGCATCCCCTTGACCATTTCCAGAGCAAGGCTGGATCCACACAACATCGTGTCATGAGATCTTTTTCTAGATGAGACGATGTTCAACGTGTCTATCATTTGGGCTACTAATTGGCCAAGCGCTTTTGGTAACTCACAAACTTCAATATCAGTTTTAGCTTCAATTACTGTAGGTGCTGGAAGTATTTTGTCCTCATTTTGATTGGACAAATCTGAACTTTCAACTAGCTTATCAAGAACTAATGCAATAAACGCTTGTTTTTTTCCAATAACAAAATAATCAAAGGGACCATTTCCAACTCATAAAAAGTTATGACTATCATCATTTAGTTTGAATTCAGTGTTTACAGAAAAGTGTATCGGTTCATTGCACTGTAGAGCTGACAGAAGAATTATGTTTAAAATCAATCGTCTAGTTGACTCGCAATAACAATTTTCTGGTTCTAGTAACCTTCTTAAGTAATTTAGGCTTGTCATTGTGACGTCAACTTTTTTTTCAAAATCATCGATTTCTTCACATTCTTTAATATTTTTGGTCAATTGGTCAGAGGTGCTTTTACCATTCCAAATATCAAAATACCTTGTTTCTTTTTCATTAAGGCCTGAAGCCCAGGTAAAATTCAGCTCGACATTATCTATTGTAAAAAGAGAGTAACCTTTTGACTTTCTTAACAAAATACAAAAACATTTGTATTCAAATATATTAGCTGTTTTTAACTCGTGTAGTTGATTATTAATATCAACCAAATAAGGTTGAAAACTATCTTCATTAGCTTTAGATGATGTTGCATGTGACTTTATGCAATTATTAAGTATTTCCAGAAATGACTTGTTGATACCCAAATGAGGTTTAAAACAAAGTTCAGCAATAAATTTAGCAGGAAAACTTCTTTTGTTAGGCTCAGTAGAAACCAAAACATTAATATAAACTTGAATCATGATCTTGCAAATTAAAGTTGCTTTAGCATTTTGAAAAGTATTATCATCAGTCATTGGGTACCATATATTTTTATCAAAATAGCAAAAAAAAATCTTTTTTGAAAAATCATTTTTATAGAACTCTGGTGAAATATTTAGGAATACCAGCAATTTGTAAACAAACTCTTCAAATGTATTGCTGAATTCTATCTCAATAAAAGTAGTAGGAGATAAATAAAGTGTACATTTATCCATAATAAGCAGGAGCTGTTTCTAATAAAGCAAAACTATATTGAAGAGTAAAGTGGAAATTAACTTGCAAAAAAATATTTATTTAAAAATAACTTAGCACAGAACATATTTTTGAAATACCTATACCATATTACTATTTAAAAAAACAAACAAAAAAAAAACCTTATGGTCAAACCAAGATTGTATCACAAGAAATGATAACTTTAAAACGATTTTGAAATTTGAAAAATTTTGTATATGGTAACCCTAAAAAAAATTAAGAAAAAAATGTTTGAGGTCTACAAAAATTTCCAGACCTCAAACACTTCTAGATCGGCAGTTAGATAGGCATTGCTAAATGTCGACCCTAAGTCCGAGGGATGTATATAGTATATAATATAAAAGTATATATATATATATATATATATATATATATATATATATATATATATATATATATATATATATATATATATATATATATATATATATATATACATATATATATATATATATATATATATATATATATATATATATATATATATATATATATATATATATATATATATATATATATATATATATATTATTATTATATATATATATATATATATATATATATAACAATAATAATTTCTGTATTATTATTATATATTTATAATAATAATAATACAAAACATGACACAATAAACATATAAAAACAAAATAATTATATTGTCATTATTTTTACTTGTTTTCCATGATATTAAAACAGATACAGGACATGATACAAAAAACTTGTTTTCACAAGACTAAGCTCTAAAATAATTTAGTTAATAATATTATTTTTATTATATAACCTTTTTTTTAATTAACTGAGCACATTAAGTATCTCAATCATGACACATACCCAACAAATTTCTCTAAGTGTTTTTATAACTTTAAAAAATCTTTTTGTTCCTTATAAAACTATACAAAAAAATATCTACGAAACCTAGAATATTTTTTATTTCATATTTAAAAAAGATAGAAAAAGTGTAATGAAAAAAAATATAACTATAAGGAAATATAACTATAAGGAAACTTCAGTGGTAGGATAAAAACCAATGCATTTTTGTAGTGAAGCCTGCAACCACTCGGCCATGCATGCTTACGGTTAAACTCAGATTAAATCAAAAGAAACAACGACAAGTTTATGAAAAACTTAATAAACAGTAAATGCAACATCTATAAAAGAAATGTTTAAATTAATGCAATTCATTTTATAAAAGTCAATACTTAGGTTGAGTGAAAAGTTTGTAAAATACCGCTATAAAAAAAATTAAATGTTTAAAATAATGCCCATCACTACCTATACAAAGTTGCATTTTTTAAATCTATATGAAAAAAAATGTCTAAAGTAAAAAGAGAATAAACTTTCGACTTATAACAGCATGACTTAACAGAATTAACTGTCTTAAATAAATGTATGTAATTCTATGTAACATTTTGTTTTGTTTTTGATTGTTTATGCCTCAGTTTCGATTCAGTTATCGGGTACACTGAGGAAAATGGATTAGTGGTTAAAATATGGTGTAGATTAGTGCTAGGCTCAAAACAGCTATTTTACAAGATCCTTTACTTAAAGGAGCGTTAAATTATTCGTTTAGAAAGGGAACTTGTGTGGTGATAAAAGATCAGGTAAAATTAAATATAAATATATTAAATATATATATATATATATATATATATATATATATATATATATATATATATATATATATATATATATATATATATATATATATATATATATATATATATATATATATATATATATATATATATATATATATCAGCGACGTGTCCAGGCTGATTTTGATACCGGTATACCGGTATGGGCCCCCAAATTTCAGCCCATACTCAATTTAAAACAGTTTTATATTAGCATTTGTTACAATTACATAAATATCAACATTTGAAAAACGACTTTTAAAGTACATTATAAGTGTATTTCAAAAGTCGCATTTAAATTAAATTAATGTATTTTTAAAGTAATGTATTTTAATACTTAAAATACATTATAAATGTATTTTAAGCCAACCAAAATGCTTCATTCGAATTCACGTTGATGAAATATAGAATATGTTGTAATTGGATTAAAATATGAAACGCTTAGCATTTTTAAATAAGATTTTAAAATACATTAATATGAGTTTCTCCTCCGCTTATGAAAATAATGAAATTTTCGAAGATTAAACTAGATTAAAGAGATTAAACTAGATGAGTTTTAAACTTTTTCATTTCAAACAACAGGAAAAATTGTTTGTAAAATACTTTAAATAATAAAACGAATGAAAGTTTTTAAAACATAAAATTAAAATAACATTTAATTAAATAATTAAAATAACATTTTAATATTCGCGCAAAAAAACTTTATTTGAATAGTAAGAGTAGAACTAGAAAAAAAAGTTATGAATTTTTGAATGAATTAAAATTTCGAATGAATTTACCTTGTTTTTAATGCGCTATGTAATAAAGTTTATATCAAAGAGTCATACAAATATTGTTTATTAAACGTTATAGTTATTGTTTGTTTATGAAATCATACTCTTTTTATTTCAAGTTAATAATATTTAATATTTGGAATTTAATAATTTAATAATTAGTATTAATTTATAATTAGTAAGTGTATGGAGCAAGTAAATGAAAAGTAGCGATTAGCGATAAATCATTATATACGAATAATTGTATTTAAATTTGAGTAAAAAAAAAAAAAAAAAGGTCCTCTAAGATAGACAGAACTTTTAGACCGGTATGCCCAAATTATTCCTGGATACGTCACTGTATATATATATATATATATATATATACATATATATATATATATATATATATATACATATATATATATATATATATATATATATATATATATATATATATATATATATATATATATATATATATATATATATATATATATATATATAAATTAGTGGAAAATCACTTGACAAAAATTTTTTTCATTTTACACTATGTTTCATCAACAAAGACTCATCAGAAAACAAAATATATAGATTTTCTGACGAGTCTTTGTTGATGAAACACAGTGTAAAATGAAAAAATTTTTTCTTAAGTGATTAATAAAATTGTTAATATATATATATATATATATATATATATATATATATATATATATATATATATATATATATATATATATATATATATATATATATATATATATATATATATATATATATATATATATATATATATATATATATATATATATATATATATATTAATGTAAGTATATACATATTTGTGTTCTATCTTTACCTCTACCGTGGTGCTTGTTCACCCGCGAGATACTGTATATGAATGTTTGTATTTTTAATATTAAACTTCTTTCATGTTTATTTTATAATTATTTGTATTAACTTAGATGATTATTAATAATTTTATTAAAAACGCAATTATTATTGAGAGAATTATTGTTTACAAAATTAATCGCACAAATTGCTTTAAAAGATTACATTTAAATAAAACACACATACATAAAACTACATACATTAAAAGTACATACATAAAAATACATAACATACATAAAAAATAAATCCCATATATATAAAAAAAAATATTTATACTAATAAAATTTATAATGTATTTACAAAACGTTGACAAGTTAAAAAATATAAATATAAAACATTTATTTTTGTAAACAAATGTTAGTTGAAAACATTTATAGCTTTGTAGATGCAGCTCCGAGAATGATCCATAGTATTAAAATAGTTTGTTTGATAGTATATTCTGAAAATATTTATGCAAGAAATCTCAACGAAAACATAACAAAACCCAAATAATACAATTTTTAAAAATATTTCAACAGAATATACAAGAACATTCGGTTAGTATTTTTGGAATATTCTAGAAATTTTGATTAGTATTTTTAAAACCGTAAAAAGTAGTTGTTTGTCATACATAAACTTAAATGCTCTCAAAATGACTTAAAACAACCTGGCCAATTTTTCGCAACCAAATATAAATTCCGTGGTCAATTAACGAGTGCGATCGCACTCGCTTCCCGACCAAGCCTGATAAAGTATATAAAAAATACACTGCTTCATGAAAAACAATATCATCAATCATTAAATGCAATTATCTTTATCAAAAAAGCAAACAATAGTCACTTATAAATAATCAGTTTGATAGCTGTCTGAGAAAACTTTAGGATGCTGCAGCATTTTTTAAACAAACATTTTCAAGTACATTACTAAATACATTAGTAATGCCAATAAAGGTGACAAATGAAAGCTTACATATATTGATACTTAACAGGACATGCAATAAACCAGAAAGTAATTTTAAAAATAAAGTCAAAACTAATCATCTTATAAGTAATTATATTGAAATTTTGTAAAATAAAACCTATTTTCAAATAACTAAATAAAAACTATATTTTCAAGTATCAAATAATAAACAAACCTTATAGCCAAAGTCAGATCGAATCGAAAGAAGCAGCGACAAGTTTATAAAAACTAAAGCAACAGCAACAGCAACACCTACAAAAAAAAAAAAAAATTAAAAATATTGTCGCTTACCATTTTACAAAAAGTTAATGATTTGTCGCATAAAAACAAAGCAGTAATTTGGTTTTACCTAAAACGCCATGCCTTGAACCAAATATGGCTCGAAGCAAAGATCATTTAAAGAATTATCAAAACACTGTTTAATTTTTAGGATCAATAGATACCAGTGCTTTAAAATAGACATTATTCATTACTTTATCTTTAACTCAACATTATCAATAATAAAACATTAAAACCCTTATGGCTTGCATAACAAAATAAAAATGTATTTAAATTCAAATCCATTAAATTAACTTGACTAATGTAACTTATTATATTATCCCAATATACTGATATATTAATAAAAAAATTTGGGTTAAACTAGTATAATTTGAATTAGATATGGTTGTATAGAACTTTTGCAATTAACAACTTTTACCAAAAACATATCGACTAAACATAAATTAAAAAAAGATTACTAAAAACAATTTTGGCTGGAGAGTTTTACTATTGTTAGTCTAAATCATAACGACAACAATAATAAAGACTTGTATTATTATCTTATCTTTAATTTGACAACATCAATAGTAAATAGAGAATAACATATTGATGTGTAACAGAAATAAAAAAGATTTGAATTAAAATATATCATATATTAAATATATAAGATATGAATTAAAATATATTGACTGTCTTCAATTTATGTATATAATTAACTATGTAAAACAACTTTTGCCATTTGGCGTTTAAGTGTTATTCTTGATTCCTTATGCCTAAACTATGTGAAAAAATGACTTTATTAAGCACAAACATTAAATACAAAATAACAGCATAAAGAAAACTTGCTTATTTAATATAACAAAAAAATTTGTTTTTTTTAATTATGACCAGGAAAAAAACAAAAACTGCATAAAGAATAGACAAACTCAATCGGAAAACACTAAACAAGGTGTAGAAATGTTCAGACTTTCTAGATATATGTTTAACAGTCGCTTGCTCTTTCAAAGTAGACCCTAACTTATGTCCACTAAAATGTTCATCTTACATATATTGATACTTAACAGGACCTGCAGAAGCAGAAAGTAATTTTATAAATAAAGTCAAAACTAATCATCTTATAAATAGTTAAAACAATTTTTATAAAATAAAACCTATTTTCAAATAACTAAACAAAAATTTTATTTTTAACTATCAAATAATAAACAAACCTTATAGCTAAAGTCAGATCGAATCGAAATAAGCAGTGACAAGTTTATAAAAAACCAAAGCAACAGTAACAGCAACACTTATAAAAAAAAAAAAAGTAATTATATCGTTGCATACCATTTTACAAAAGGTAATATTTTGTTGCATACAAACAAACCAGTTATTTGGTTTTACCTAAAACGCTATGCCTTGAGCTGAATATGGCTCAAAGCAAAGATCATTTAAAAAAATATCAAAACACTGTTTTATTCAACATTCAAATAGAGTGCTCGATGTTTTAAAAAAAACAAAAACAGAGCAATAATAAATTAGTAAAAAACACTTATCTAACTTTTTTATATATTATATATATATATATATATATATATATATATATATATATATATATATATATATATATATATATATATATATATATATATATATATATATATATATATATATATATATATATATATATATATATAATATATCCTTATTGTGTAGTTGAAAGAGACATTTAAAAAAAGTAAAAAAATCTTTTTCGACTACAATTTTAATTACCTCGTCTCTTAAGCTGTATTTGATTGTCGTCGAAATGTCAAAGCAATTAAATTAATGCGGAAGTACATTAAACATTATTGTTTTTTAAAAAAACCGCAATAATAACAACTAAAAAGTTTTTTTTAATTAGTTGTGTTTATGTTTTATTAAAAAACATTTTTAAAAGATGCGTAAGTGTTGCTACATCGACTATCTTATAGCCTGCTGCTACAAGGGAGTGTTGCTACATCGACTATCTTTTAGCCTGACTCGCAACATAGTGTTGCTTCATCAACTGACAAATAGCCTGACTCGCAAGGGAGTGCTGCTGCATTGACTTACAAATAGCCTGACTCGCAAGGGAGTTGGCTATTTGTAATATTGTTGAGTTTTTTAACAATAATCAATAATATTTAATTTAAGGATTATAAACAAAAAAAAGTCCTAGCGACAGTCTCATCATAGCAGTAAAGAAAAACATCATCAGTTGATAGTTGGTGAATGTTAAATGATTCGTATGTGAGCTTTCTGATGTAGTAAAAGTCATTGGTGGACTTGTTAGGTAGGTTGAGATTTTTTTGGTAGTTAAACGTAAAGGCCTCTAGATGAGGTGTAATCTTGGCCCTTCACTTAGCGTCTCTTTTTCTCCGGTAGAATGTGTCAGCCTTTCTTGGGTACCCAAAGCCAATGTTAAAATCGTTGTTGAATATAAGCCTGTATGACTCATACACTAAACTGTCTCCTGGCCACTTCTCTTGATATAAATCAAACATCTTGGAGATGTTCTTGATATAAATCAAACATCTTGGAGATGTTCTTGATATAAATCAAACATCTTGGAGATGTTCTTGATATAAATCAAACATCTTGGAGTTCTTCTAGCAGGTACAGCCGTTTCGTCTTCTCTTGTGAGTAATGAGACTGGCGACCCCTAAACGAAGAGATGTGGTCTCTTATTCTCTGCCGCAGTTCATCAGATATTTTGTGATGACTGCCATGCTTTCCTCGTCCATTAACAGGAGGCAGGCCTGGGGTGAGTAAAAAAAATTTTAAAAAAATTAAAAGTTATAAAAATACATGTTCAGAGAATAACAGCACTCTTTATGAATTTCAACATTTCTTTTTAAATATTGAAAAATATTAATATATAGACAAGAAAGGATTATAGAAAAATGTGCATTTTTTTTACATTAACTATGATAAGAAAAAATAGCTTTTTTGTTCCACAAACTGAAACAAAAAACTATTGCTAATAGTATAAATTACCTGTAGTAGCAAGACTTCTCTTGATAGTCTCAAGTCTACCCTTCTTAATTCGAAAGATGGAGATGAAGGCTTGAAAGCAAACATAGGCAAATGAATCTGGGTCAACATCATCTGTACTCTTCAGGAATACTTTATAGTGATAGCTGTGACTGTTTGCACTTTTAGGCTCTTCCTTTCGAGGTCTTTTTCGGCTAATCTCGGCGATTGTGATCAGTGAAGCAAGATAGGAATCCTGTAAAAAAAAGCAATATAAGATTATTAACGCAACCTGTCACACATCTTTGGAAAAACAAGCATTTTTATAAAATTTAAAAATATATATGCCTACCTACTTTGTTAGAATTAATAAATTTCACTGCTTTGTGCTAGGACCTATTCAGAAAGTTGAACATAATAGAATGATCGATTTTATCAAGAATTGTCTATAGATAGTTGAACATAAAGGAATTATCGATTTTATAAAGAAGTTTTTTTTTATTAGATAGATGTCTAGGCTTGTTGGTATGCTGCGTTCAAATAGAACAATGAACTGTGATATTGGGTCCACCCCACTAAAAAACTAAGTTAAAAATGCCTATTAAACATACAATACTAGCATTAGGTATCATAACACAGTAATACAACCAGATGTCTACCATGGTTATGATTCAGATGTACAGGTCTAGTTATTCTAGACCTAACTAAATTTGAATGAAAATGAGAATGAGAAACTCTTTGTCTTATTTAATCAACATGTTCATGGTGGAATAACAGGTGCATTAAAATTATGAATCTTTTTTTTTTTTTTTTTTAATTTTAATTCACCTCATCAAGGCCGAGAAGGCCACTACAGACGAGGAGGCTACTTATTTGTGGTTATAACCCTCTCTCAACTCTATAACTCCGAAACACGAACCTTGACGAGCAAGGCTGCTGCGCGGAGAAATGAGTTGAGCGCGGTACTACCAGGGACGTGGTGGGGATCGAACTCGGAACCACTCGTTAATGAAGCGAGCGCTCTATCACTACACCACTACCGCATAAATCTAGGTCTAGACCTAAATAAAATCTAGGTCTAGACCTAAATCTAGAGCTAGTATTATAAATAAAAAAATAGTCTAGAACTATATTTAAAGAGTTTAATTTAAAACTTAAAAGAAGAACTCACCTGAGCATCCTTTGTTGGTAACGCATTAAATGACTCGAGGAGCAAGGCTGTATTCTCTTCTTTGACTGTTTGAAAGCATTTTAAGTCTTATACATTTACAGTCGATGCCAGTTACATGAGATGACAATCTCTGTTTCTTTGCTATGTCTTTCTTACTGCCATTTTTCTTTTTCTTTTTTGGCTTGTCTGTAACAATAGGTGTAGCATTGTAGTCAGCCATTTTGTTTTAGTATAGATTCTTTGTGTACTGGTTACTCAAATGAGCTTTTGTACTGGAACTCAAATGAGTTTAATAAAAACACCCTATTTTGATCCTTATGAATTTAAAATCAAAAAAGATTTAAATTTACTTTCTATATTACACTTAAACATAAGAAGCATGTGGCAAAATTTTAAAAAGTTTAAAGAATTTCTATCTATTATAAATTACACGTTCGAAGTCATATCTCTGCCAGAGACTTGGCATGATTCAGAATGTCCTCTAGAGTTGAATTCTAATTATAGTTTGGCAAATTACAAACTAATTTGCCAACCACGAGGAAGCAATAAAAAAGGCGGAGGCATAGGTGTTTACGTGCTCAAAAAGTATTAATTTAAAATAAAAAAGCTATTAAGTGTAGCAAATAATAATTATGAACGTCTTTTTATTGAAGTAATTAATGCTAAAAACAAAAATAGTATAACTGGATGCGTGTACCGACCACCTAGTGGTAAAATTAGATCATTTCAAGATTTTATCGAAAAAAGTATTTTAAAAACAATCAACGAGAAAAAAAAAAAATTTATCCTTGGTGATATAAATTTGAACGCACTAACATACCAAAAATTTCCAAAAACAAAATCTTTTTTTGACATGTTATATAAGTACAATGTTTTGTCAGTAATTAATAAACCGTCAGGGTTTATTAATTAACAAAGTATACATTAGTTTATAAAAAGTTGCAAGAAGTAAACCTTCCCCTCAAATTACCAGATATTTTTTTAAATAATAAAGAAATAAAACAGGAAGACTCTATAAAGTTCATAGGGATACTTGTTGACAAGCACTTATCTTGGCATCCCCATATTAAATATTTACAATCAAAAGTTAGTAAAACGATCGGCATGATGTACCGAGTTCGTCCTTACGTTAATAGTATGTCTTAAAGTAATTTATTTCTCCTTAATTCATTGTTTTATTAGTTATGTCAATATTACATGGGGCAACACGCAAACTACAAAACTTAAAAAAATACTTAGTGTTCAAAAACATGCGTGTAGAATTATATACGGAAAAAAAAGAAGGGAGCACACTAAACCATTAATGCGTGACATGAAAATGATGAATATTTATGAAATAAATATTTATCAACACTTAATTTTCATGTATAAGTTTACAAATAACCTTACTCCAGTAAATTTTAATTGTAAGTTTAAAAAAAATATAAATGAAAAGTATTTCCTTAGAACAAACCAATCAAAATTCTTTAAATTGCCTAAGAAACTAAATAAGTATACAGAGTTTTCAACAGCATTTCGGGGACCAAAGATATGGAACTATTTTCAAAAAAAAGAAGCTAAAAAAGATAATATGGTAAAATCACTAAACTCATTTAAGATGCAAGCAAAAAAACACATTTTTAATTCTGAGGAATTACAAAAATTCTTTTAAGTTTTATCAAAATAGTTTTACTTTTTTATTCTTTGAATTATTAATTGTACATTTATTTTTTGTAGTTATTTTATGCATTGCTTTTTATATGTTAAACCCTCGAGTATTTAAATTTACATCATACTTTTATCTGCAGTTTATAATAACTTTTTGACGACTTTTTATTTTTCTAGGGGCTCTATGAAAAGACTGTGGTGGTATTGTATCACTCATAGCTTCTTTGAGTCCTGGTCTGTTTTTTTAAATTGTCTTATTTATTTATATATTTTATTACGTGAAAATCTTATGTAATTGATTTTATTAAACAGCAAAATATATTTAAAACTTAAAAAAAAAAAAAAAGATTACAGCTTACTGATTGGTCCAAAGGGTCACGCAACCCTAAAGGTTATGTGACCTATATAGACCCTTTTTTAAACCGACATAATTAAATATATGAAGATCACAATGAAAATCAAAATGGCAGAGTCACATATAACGTTATTATATAGACCCTGCCTTTTCTTTCCTTGTCACTGGTGGACATATATATATATATATATATATATATATATATATATATATATATATATATATATATATATATATATATATATATATATATATATATATATATATTTATATATATATATATATATATATATATATATATATATAATATATATATATATATATATATATATATATATATATATATATATATATATATATATATATATATATATATATATATATATATTTTACCCTTTATATATCTCTATTAATATAATAATTTAGTAAGTTCAACATTCTACCAATCTAATTACCAAAGTACTATATTACCATAGTACCATAAATACCATAACTCAATGCCATGTAAACTACCATTAACTTTCACAACAACTTGAATTAGAGAATTTAATTGCACAAATTATTACTTTTAGTAATTGTATAACTCTATTATTACAACAATTTTTAATAATTTATTCTTACAAAACTAC